GGCCGTTTGGGTTGTATGTTGCTTGAGCAGGGGAGGGGCCATGGTGACCCAAAATCGAGGCCGAACATAGGAAGACGCAGCTGTTCAGTTCAGTGAAGCAAGCTCTCCACATCCCGGGCTTGTAAAAACAGCCGACTGCCCAGCCACCGTCACAGTGGCGGACATCTCTGGAAAGTAAGAAGTGGCCATGACGATGATCCTGAGCGCGAATTTGCGAATGGCCAATATCCTAAGCTAGAACGTCGAAGCCGCGCCCGAGTTACGATGAGGCACTGCCGCAGCTACGTAAAAGAAAAGATTCTTCCGCAGGATCGGTATGTAGCGAGCATTCTCGAAGCCCAAGCCCTTGCAGTCGATGATGATCTGTGCCCGCAGCAGCTTCTTGCCTGTGGCTCGACTCTGTTGGGTTCCCTCGCAGTCCCTCGCTCTTTCTTGTATTCCTAAGAGTGTCACCACACCCACGAAATGGTGCCGAATGAGTGGGTATATTATGCGGGATAGGAAGCTCGGATACAGCTACGCGGCTACACGGTTATGCGAGAAGTGGTCTTCGACCACCCACCTTGAGGCCTATGGCCACGTATCAAAGTTGTCACCACGAGCGCGCGCGCTCGTCTGGCAACGTGGGAGGCCACGTGGTGAAATCGCAACATCGACAAATCAATGTCTCAGGCGACCTTCTGCTTCGAGTCTGAGCCAGCAACTCTATTGGAGACACTCAGAACCGCCGGTTCCAAACGCTGTCAACAATAACTAGACTCATTGCGGCGTTTGCAGCGTGGCGAGGGCATTGCCACAATCACAAGCCCTCTCACGGATGCACTGGTGCCAGGACGCTTCAACACAAGCTCCACATGCAAAGCTTCGGACTTGCAAGACAAGCAGAGCGAACCACCAGCGGCAAGAAAACGCCGAAAGCTCCAAACGAACGCAGGTGCAAAGGCAGAAGTGGCTGTCGGATCCTTCGGCCTCTGTTCGACCCGACACTCTAAATCCTGATAAGTTGCTTGTCAGCTGCAATGACAAAACAAGGGCGCCTTCCAACAACAGCCGAAATTCCGTACAACATCCCCGACAGCTGAATGTTTTCATGCACACTCTGCTGTGTTTCTGTCATTCTCCACCCAGCAAGTGGGGTAGATAGATTTTCAGGACAGAGTGGGACCCTAGTGTACCCCGATCCGATCCTTAAATTGAGCTGAAAAACCCCAAACCCCGAAGCCAGCATCACGCAGCCGAGTGGCGTTGCAGTGAGCCCGCCCGTAGGGCTTGAAATGCATCTTCGAGATGAGCCATGAAGGCTTTGATCATCAGGTCCACCATGCCCTCACCTCTACAAACTGAACTTCATGAGCCTAGGGCTATGAGTCAATGAGGTGTAGAGGTTGAGGTTGAAAGCTCTGGCAGTTTTCGAAGGTGTGCACTTCGCTAGAAATACTGGCCCCAGTTGCGGACCATGCCCTCGTAGTCTGCGCTCCCTGCGCGCCAAACCAGCACTGGCTCCTGTGTCAGGGCGAGGGCTACGTACCACTAGCACGTACTGCTTGCAGCACTGTGTTGCTGTACTATTGCTCCAATAGATCAGGGAAAGTGCTCCCAAACTTTTTGTGGTCTGAAAGCAAAGAATTGGGACAGTACAGCATCTTTGCTGCCCCAGGCCTCAACAGTGAAGCCTCTGAACGCCCTCTGCAATGGCCGGAATCGAAAGCAGACGTTTAAATCCTGCCCAGCAAATACTCCTGGACTCCCATGCCCTAAGTGCCATAACAAACGAAGCCTCCACTGTGGCAGCAGGCAAGCGCCCGAAGAACGCGTGGCGCGCAGCCATCTCAGACTCTGGAGTGCCTGGATTTGGTTTTCCCCATTGCCAATAAGGGCCGAAGACTCAAGGTTCTTCCGGAGCCCTTCTTTCTGGAAATTTATGCCTCACAGCCCTCACGGCAAAGCAGCCAATTCTCAGAACCAGCCGGGATGCGAGACTTCAGTGCAGTTATTGGCCTGCACGAAAACTAGTGGGCGAAGCTAGAGTCGAAGTCGATATAGCACGGACATTGCCGCACAGCATGTGAATGCGTTCCGGTTCTTGTTGCCTCCCGCCAAGCTGAACTGAATCCACTTTGCAGGCTACGGCGTATTCGGGCAGGCGATAAATCCACACCAGCATGTCGCGTTCAACATCGCGTGGTAGCAGCTAGATGTAACCAGGGAACAAAACATGCGACAAGCCATTGGTCATCGCAACACAGTCGGGGGCTGCCATGTGTGAAGGATCGGGGGCAGCCATAAGACGTCCACATCATGCGGCCTGTAAAACCCATGACAGCCCTGAACCTGAAGCCCAGATGCCCTACACAGCCAAAGTGCTGGGCCCTGGAGTCCAGGTCCACTTGGAGGCGTTGGTAGCCCGGGCTCCGTCACGGTGGTACTCTCCGTTCGAGCCGAAGGCATCCATAACAGAGGCGATTGAGAAGCCTCAGGATGTTGAACTTTTGGGCTTGTGGTGATAATTCAGTTGGCAGTTGGCATGCCTTAAACTTCAATAGCTGTCTACCTCATGAACACCCCAAGACAAGCTCACCAAGCAGCTTGACCTCCAGGCCAGGGCATCGCGATACATGTGTGCAGCCGCCTGCACATTGGCATGCCGAGCCCTGCACAAGGCGCTGGAGCGAGTCGGCCATTCTAAATCTCGTGGTTAAGCTGGCTTTATTCTCACCCCCTCACTCAACTCCCTGATATGGCTCTGCAATGGAAAGCTGCTGATCAGACGAGGGCATGTTGGGAGAGAAGCTATCGTCGGCCTTTTGGGGTTCGGGGCTTGAGGCCACCTTCCTCGTTGCAGCGCCCAGTACGGCACTGCACAATGAACCTGAAAGCTCCAAAAGGCGCCGAACCGCCTTGGACCCCGACCAAAAAAATACCCAGGGCTCCATACAGCAGCTTCGGGTTAAGAATCTTCAAGCACCTCTTGCACCTCGCGAACACTGGGAACTGACCTGCCTGTAGAAGCGCAAGAGTGTCAGAGGGTCTGCGAGGGGCTCCTCCAAGCATCACGGCGGGTCACCACTGCACTTGCAACTAAGACCCTTCACTTAGAGCGGGTAGGCTCTACAGAGGGCCAACAGATGCCAACAGGGAGTGCGGATACGTGGCGTGACTTCGTGCTCTTTCGTCGCATGTGTTTTTCAACTGCCTGGACGTGCCCAATGCTAAACCCTGGCCTGAACCCCAGCCAAACCCTCTCCCTCAAAGAGTACCCCCCCCCTTCGTCCGCTGAGGCTCCTCCCCGACCGCTGCGACTTCCGCTGCTAGTTCTGCGACCCCTGCCGCCTCTTCGGCCGGCACGCCCGCAGCCAGAAATCCTTGTGAAGATCACAAGGTTCAGCCATATATACATATATATATATACACATATATATATATATGTATGCACAGATATAGATGTATATATATATATACATGTATGTACGTATTTACGTACATGTTTACTGCAGAAACATCAAAACAAGCACAGACATAGACGTAGACATGGACATAGATCGACGGATACCATGAATCGATGCAGACATCGAAACAGACATCCATAAGTTAGATAAGGCTTATTCAGAGGCTCATAGAGGAGTTCCAGGACTTGGTTTATGCAGGTGTGTTGGCCCTTGAGCAGGGGCCGGGTACCCACAATACGCCGAAGTGCTACGAGTAGGAGGCTTCGTGTCTTATGCAGTGAAGGGCGGGTGAGACACCTGTCTCTATGCAGGATGTTACTATGTTAGTGATTGTTTTTGTTTTGTTTGGGGGGGGGGGATGCCACGAAGTAGCGACTTGCAACATGAGAGCATTAAGGCTAAGGGCTTTGCAGGTGGATTTTATTGGGAGTTCTGCCCTTTTAAAGCAACACGAAAAAAGGCCCTCAACCTAGTGTGACAAGTTTGCTCTCTTTCTATGCCCCTTTCACCCCCCCTCCCCCCCCCAAGAAAGGGACCTCCAAAGCGTAGAATCTCGCTTGGGCAAGGCACGGTCCGAGGCATCAGTCATCCCAGGCTTAGGGCTGCCTGGAGAGGGGGGAAACCCTGAACCCCCCCCCGGGGAAAAGGGAGAAAGGGATTTTTGGGTTGCAAGGCTCTGCTTTCTGGTTGGGCTCTGGAGTTGAGATCCCAAGCCCACAACCCCACCCACAGATACTGGGGGTCAGACTCAGACTCTCAGCTGGCACCTTGGAAAAATCCTTCATCCTGCAACTTCTGCAACAAGCTTCGAAAGAAAAACGCCACCCTCCAGCGTTGCTGCGGACCTCTCCGAGGAGCTCTCTCCAAAGGCTGGTGAGTCTGGTGGGTAAACAGGCTCCGTGCCAGGAGCCGCCAAGGGAGCCCACGAAGCACGACCTCCAGAACTGCCCACGTGAGCAGATCGAATCATTGGGGTTCGTTGTTGCGGTGGTGCTGTCCCTACTTACATTGGCATCTCTGATTAGAGTGCTGAGCATGGACACATGTGAATTTGTGCTTTCCGGATGCCGATTGTAGACAGCGAACAGCTCTTGCTCACAGCATGCGCTGATTATTTTGAATAGCTGGATGGCGTTCCAGTTTGCATTGACGAGTTTTTTCTTGCGTACCTGCTAAGGGCCCGACCGTTTCCGACAGAGGGCAGAGGTGCGCAGCCCACATGGTGAAAGCTGCACAACTGAGTGTCCGCAGGAGAGCCCGCCTCTGAGGCTTCTGGGCCATGGCGTCGCGGTGCAACATGCGGACCACACAAGGGATACAAATAGTAAAGCATCTCAGTGCATTCATACACGATGTGCATGCTTCAGGGGATTGATGCTGTCCTTTGCAATCCGCGCGCCGTTTCGAACTAAGGCTTCGGATCAAGTTGCCTCGTCTGCTCTGGCCCCGTCCGGGAGAACAGCTAGTTAGCCAGCTGTGTTAGTCTATGTTCGCTGGTTTCCACAAGTCTCTTCACTCCAGAAAACACTCTGGGCACAAACCTCCGGCAGAGTCCTGCAGAGCGCTGCCTCCATTGCCCAGAAAGGTTGGTAGGTGAGACCTGTTTGAGACAGGCAAGGCCAAAGCGCCAAACTCGCAGAAAATGAAACACTAAAGTTTTTCCCAAGACCAACCAGGAAGACGGAAGCTGAAGTGCCTCATCTCGGCTTCCCCGAGACCGTACCCTGGACCCCGAAGCAAATCAGTACAATCCAAACCCTCCCAATTCTACCGGGGCACGTCGTGGCTGTAGGCCCAGAAAGGAACTCGGCGGGGGAAGCACCGATCTCCTGCTTCTCAAACTTGGGCCTATAGTAACTCATAGTAACTCATAGTAACTCATGGTAACTCATAGTAACTCATGGTAACTCATGGGCACCTGGGGACCGCCAACCCCGTCGCTCCCCTTTGGCTACAGAGCCGCCCGCCAGCGCCATGTCGCGGCCAGCGGACCACAGTTCACAACCTGCAGGATGACAAAGGAACTGTTTTGAACTAGTTTGGGGGGGACCTCGTCATCCTGGGGATCAACTCCCAAGAGAACTTGTTCAGACGGGTTGTAACGTGAAACCGCGGGGTGCTGAGCCAGGGAATTCGCTGGTGCAGCTTCTGCCAACGAAGCTATGTGTCAGTGGTCAGCACATCACCGAAGACGCATGGTGACGCACTTATATGCAAGATCAGCTTTGTGATGTTTTGGGCAACGGTGCAAAATATTTGGTTCTTGAAGGCTGCGAAAAGGCATCTTTTGTGTACCGGTTTGTTGCAAGGACGCACCGCTGCAATCCCAGAGCTGTTGCATTCACAAACTCAAAGTCTCGAAGTTCTTTGCTGTTGTTGACCAGCATCAACAAAACCCACACCAGCAGACAAACATGTACACAAACACACATACACATCGTCAAGTCCCTCGAAATCGCATCTCTATCGGGGCTTAAAAACCATGGCAACATGCGCGCAGGCTTGCTGGGCTTCCGGGGAGGCTCGTTCATGACAAATGACAAGAGCCGATGGACGATGTCTGAGCAGCGATATGAACTGAAAATGGAGAGAGCAACCAAAACAACCCGACCTAGAGTCCACAGCAGTCGCTCTGCCGGGGAATTGGGAGCGAATCGCCGCCGTTTCGGAACAACCTTCGGCATCTTGAGGCTTGGCTGGGCGGGGATTGATGCGAAACATGGGCCTAATTTTTGGGTAGAGTACTACATGCAAGGAACAGAGTCTAACAGAGAAACCAAAGAGGGACTCTGAAATAATTTGGATCAACCCCCCGATGATGGCCATCAGGGTTGGGGCTGTAGGGCAAGAGTGAGGCGTGCGGGATCTTCTTGCTGCGGGTGACCTTGGATTTGGGCTGTGCTTGGATCTGTGCCGAGGTTGAGGTTCGGGTGCGAGTCGTGCAGCAGTTCCATCCCGGGTTGTTTCCGAACTCGTCTAGCAGCCCCAAAAACACTTTCAGAACCTACGGTTGGCGCGGGTCGGCTGAACTTAAGCTGGCAGGCTTCTCTCGGCACGGTAAACGGTAACGCTGGCCTAGCAGACTATAAAAGTCTAAGTAAGAACTCAGCACCACTGTTCTGGCCAAGTCAGGTCCGCGACTTGCGAAACGACAGGTTGGGTGGGGACCCTGGCCTTATAACTAGAGTAACTAGAGATGTCATAGTGAACCCGCATTCGGGCCAGCAGCTCGCGCGGAAATCACCTCCTTTCAGAACTCGGTTGCATGCAGCAGTCCTTTCAAAAACGTCTTCGGGCTAAAGAGCTCGTATGGTCATCTCCAAGCCCAAAGCAACCAACCCCCGGTGTCCCCCACCCCACCCCACCCCCCTTGCCCTTGGACCTGCTTTGTGCTGTTCCGCGCGCGGCCAGCGCGCAGATCTTGAAGCGCCCGCGCATCCAGCCGGAGGCTCGCAAAGAGGACCGGCCTGGCCGGGAGTAGCGGCTTTTGGAGGGCTTTCACACGGAACTCCCTTGGATGCTGCAGGCCGGCTGCAGGATTCTACTTAGTTACCTGCGGCGGGTCAACAGAGGGGCTACGGAGGCTACTGTACCTTCCCCTTATCCCCATCCAGGTGTGCCGGATCCCTCAAGCTGCCCTTTGCCCTCGCCCCTTTCGACCGCATCCCTGCCTCGGCTTCGGCACGAGAATGCAAAGCCATACCTTGGTAACTGTTCTGCAATCGCTCGGATTGTGTCCCATTTGGCACGATCGAGCTTGGAAAGAGTTGTTGTTTGTTGACCACCCAGTTCAGGATGTGTGTGTGTGGGTGCGTGCGTGCATGCGTGGGTGCGTGCGTGCGGGTGCGTGCGGGGATCTTTTCAAGCGGCTAAGTTGGTCAGGTCACAAAGAGTAACGGACACGGAAGTCTATGCGTTGTTTAGGATTGCTAAGAACTTGGAGCAACCCGCCAAGAGCAAGGTCGTTGCCTTGCTGACTGGAGCACTTCGGTTTCGCAACTGCTCGGTTCCAGCCAAACAACCCAGGCTCCGAGTGCCGTTTTTGGCGCACGCGGACTTTAAGACATGCCTGACCAAGTGGCTACGCCAACAGATTCAGCAGTACAAGCATTGGCTTATTCCTCTACATCTTCCATCTAAGTTTGTGGACGAAGGCTCTCATCTATCCTTGGCCAAGGCGCTACACAACATTAAGCAGTGGGAAAGCAGAATGACGAATCTACAGCCGTCGTCACTGCCGTGTTGCTGTCAGGAGTTAACCAGACAACATCCTCACTTGCATTTTGTTGATGGACATGTTGCTTCCAGTGCTTCACTGCTGTCCTTGGATGTTGATTTGCATATTCTTGTTTCTTTCAGCTCCAGCTCCACCTTCTACCCCACTTTTCAGTCGTATCGCGGGCTCTATCAAGCAAAAGTCGATGCTTGGTTCAAAGCCCAAGGATTCCCACTTCAAGTTGCTCATGATTTTTGGACAGAATTCTTCCCTAGACAGTGGTATCTCCATGAGCATGCGATTGCTAAGTTGGACTTTGCTCTTCAAGAGCCCCAGGTCACACGCCTCAAGCGCTGTATATCCAACAAGTTGGTTGTGCATCTTGCAGATCATCAAGCCTCCCATTTGATGGTTTTCTGCCCTCAATTCTATTTTCAGTCTGTTCTTCGAGTGTGGCAGGATGTTACAAACTTCAAACAGATCAAGTCTGAACCACACCTCTGTCGACTTCAAGTTCGTGATGCCATTCCAGGAGATATTCGTAAGAGGTATGCATGGGGCGTTCGACAGAGCGCCTCTCTCCCACAAGGCATTGTCTTTCTCAAAGAAAAGAAAGACTTTCGCAAAGGTAGAAGTGTCATTGCCTACAATCGCACAATCACAGAACGTTTGCAGCGTGCAGCGGCCTCAGCTATTGAGCAGATGATTCATGCATGTTTTCCGGAACACTTTGGGTCTTTGACGTTGCCCCAGATATTTGACAAGCTACATTCTTGGTTTCGAGAGCTGCCAGTGTCCTCCACGATAGGTTGTCAGAATGATGATCTTGTTGGGTTCTTCAACAGTGTCCCTCAAGTTCGGATATTGCAAACTATTGATGTTTTGATGCTTCGGTACTCCCAGCTCACCGACACCGCCAAGATTACCGTGTGTATTGCTAAGGGCAAACGCGAAGTCAAAAGTATCTCTGGTAGAACCACTTTTGCGGGTGATCCCAGATATTGGAAAAGCGTTGATGTTTCAGATGTCCCTGCGATGGTGCAGGCCTCTTTTGATTGTGGTATTTTTCAAGCTTGTGGAGCTCTTTGGCAACAGCATGATGGCACTTGCATTGGCAATCAAATTTCGCCTATACTCAGCTCCCTGCCTGTGCTCTGCACAGAGGTTGGCTGGCAAGCACTCTTTGCTTCGAGTCGGCTTTTGCGTCCGTTTATTGCCATTAGATACGTCGACAACAGACTCATTCTTTTTTGCGAAACTTTGCGTCAAACTTCCAGCCTCAAGGCGCTCTTACACCCAATGTTTTATGGCGCACCCATCGAGCTTGAAGATGTCGGATCTCAAGAGTTTCTCGGTTTCGAAGTTGACCATCACCAACGAGAAATCCGCGTGAAGCCCCTGCATGCATTTTGGCAAGTTCGCCATCCCGGATCAGCTGGATCCCCAAGACTATTGATTTCAGGATTGAGATCCCGTTTGGCCTCCGTCAGTAAGTACGCTTGGCCACCTGAGATCCGAGAGCACCAATCTCACCAAATTTTGCATTTTCACGCCCAAGCAGGATATGACCCCTCGCTTTTGGCTACACTAAAAGCTTGTTGGTTTTGCCGACATTCGCAGTGCAGTGCATGTTGTCACACTAGCTCTGTTGTGCAGTTCTCTTGCGCTCATGTGTGCGAGTATGTCCGGGTCTTGTTTGTCGGAGGGATAAGTTGCAGCATGAGCCATCACCCCATGCTTGCTTGTCGCGTGCTCGGAGCTTATTGGTACAAGCCTTATAAGTCGCTTGGGCCTCAGAAACGCCAACCCCTCAGTTTTGGCGTGTACATGGGCAGAGGTTTTTCAGCTGAGCATGGCTAAGCGCAAACAGTTCCCCAATAGTGTTTTAGATGAGCTGCCTTGAGCAGTCAACCTGGAGTGAGTTGTGGGAAATAACAAGTGCTCCTTCGAGCTTCTGCGTCGCTGCATTGCATTCGTCCTCTTCTTAGTACTCAGATCAGTGCAAGGCCCATCTAAAAACAACCCCTTCTTTTGAAGGGGTGTGTGTGTACATCCCTGTACCAAAGGGTAGGTCTTCTGTGGAAGTTTAGTGGAATCGACCGTTTGTTGCAGGGGCCCTGGAGTGACTTGAAATGCAAATCGACGCAGAAGCGATTTGCAGAACCGCCATGGTGACACGGCACTCATGACCGTGTTGCGCCAGGGCTACCTTGAGATTGTGTGCTTGCTGTTGGAAGTGAGTGCTCACACAGATTTGCAGAGTCATGCTAGCTGCACAGCCGTGTCTGCGTGTCCCTCAAGGGACATGTGGAGATCGCACGCGTGTTATTGGAAGCCGGGGCAAACAAAGATGCGCAAGCAGGAGATGTGCGCAAACCTTGTTTCCAAGGGAATAGGGACAAGGGCTTGCAGAACCGCCGTGGTGACACGGCACTCATGACCGCGTCGCGCCAGGGCCACCTTGAGATTGTGTGCTTGCTGTTGGAAGTGAGTGCTCACACAGATTTGCAGAGGCATGCTAGCTGCACAGCCGTGTCTGCGCGTCGCTCAAGGGACATGTGGAGATCGCATGCGTGTTATTGGAAGCCCGGGCAAACACAGATGCGTAAGCAGGGGGATGGAGGAGGTATATGAGGCTCCATCCAACGAAGCTCCTCATATTACCTCAGGATATCACCAGGGACGCCTGGTGACGTACCTGCATTCTAGTTTTTTTTCGGATTAGCTGGTGGGCCCCCTGTGGCACCGATGTACGCAGTAGTATACTGTAAGCAAAGAAGAAAGCCACCCATTGACCAGATGGTCAGCGTACGTGTGGGTGCGTGCGTGCATGCGTGGGTGCGTGCGTGCGGGTGCGTGCGGGTGTGTGCGTGCGGGTGCGCTTTGATCTCAGGCAAGGAAAGGCTCCCGAAAATTGCTCAAGATGTTTCCCTGGTTGTCTGGTCAGCTTCGTGATCCTCGGAGGATAATTTAGGGCTTAAAGTTTAAGGTTCCTGGGGCTCGGGGCGCTCAGTCCTGCACCTTCTGAGTATTCCTGTCATCCACCAAGGTCTGTCACTATAGGGGTTTGGGGATGTAGGCTCGCGGAATCTCAAGCTCAGCATTGCAGCTTCCGGGCAACAAAGCACCCGGCCACGGCGTTGCAGGGGCGATGCGTCATGGCACGGAGATGTGTGGAGAGATGGGTGACATATGACTCGGGGTAGCCTTCCGACTGAATGCATTGGGAGCCCATTGGGGTTTCGGGGTTACTTTTACCAAATTGAGGACACATGACGAATTGTCCATGTGCCGTCGATATTGACACATGAAGGGGGCGTATGAGGGTGCCCGACTTTTGAGAACTAAGCGTGGCTCGCTTGAATCGAGACTGCGCGCATGGCAGCAAGAGCAGGCACGAAGGCCCAAAGCTAGATTCCGGATTCCACGGCCTCAACTCGGCAAAAACTAGCAGCTTCCAACCTTAAACTCTGAAGTACCACCTCCGATGAGACACACCCAAACATGTGACGTTTGTGAACCCAATGGACCCGAGACGGTACGAGTGGAAAATTACGACTTCAGGCTTTGAGCTTGGGATTCTGCTGATAAGAACCCAAACCTCGCTGCAAGAGCTCCTTGAAGCCTGCACCGTATAAACAATAGAACCAACCCATGCCCCCGAAGCCACGGAACCTCCTAGAACCCTAGAAACAGAACACTGCAATCTCGCAAAGGTTCCTGCGAGCTTCAACAAAATTGGCCACTCTACTCCCTGTTAGCCTGGAAGCCTGACATGCTGTCATTTTTGGGCAAATTTGGCTCTCAGTCCTGAACTTCTGATTGCCTCTGGCCTGCAAGCCCAAACCCACATGCACAAACCCATTTATGCCTATATAGTAGCCTCTACACTGCTACACTGGCATGCACCCACCTCAGAGGCAGCGCGCGATGCGGCTCTTGCCATGGGGACATGGGCAGCACGAGCTTCATCCGATAAGAAATGGACTTGCGAGCTTCCAATTGTTTGCCTGAAAACCCGTAAAGTGCCATGTGGAATTTGACGTGCGCAACGCGATGTCTGCATGTGCCAGTGCAGATGCATGAGGTGCATTTGTCTCTTTGGATTAGGAACTTCGGAGCTCGGACGCCTGACAACTTGGGTGGTCATGTCATGCAAGACACAGGGACCCGCCTCACCGCAAGGAGCCTCCACAAGTACAAGCATGGAAACCTTAAAGCTTGGGTTGTGTAGGCGTGCAAGAACAACTATAAGCTGTGCCATGGACCAACAGCCCGGGAGGCTTTGGAGTCTTACTGGTGCTTGACACCCACGAGCTTTGTTTGCTATAAGGAGTGGGCTTTTGGATAGTCTTGCAACCAATGTATACAACGAAGGAAACCCCAAACCCATCGCAGGTCCTTTTTCTAATCCTCTGTTCCCTCCTCCTCTTAGCACGCCTCCCCGGACCCACTTGACCCTCCCAAAACAAGCACGGAACGTCTGTGATTTGGATCGCTTCCCCTTCCAGAGAGGCCGTCAGTAAAACGAAGGGGGGACAACAAGCAGCAACATGCATCCCAACGAGCAATACATAAGCTCCTGAACCCTATATAGTTGCCCGAACGGTCCCAACGCTGAGATCCCGGATCGTACGGCTGCTGACTGCCCTACACCCATCACATGATCCATTGGTAGCAGAACGTATCTCAGCTTTTGGCATCCACTGCGACTGCGCTGCCATTTGGCAGCACGCAACGCGGCAGCGAAGGCGAAGAGGTACAACAACATCAACGGGCGAACGTCGTATTCCTGAGACAGCATGAAGCCTGGCATGCGGAGACCGGGGCATTCCTCAGTTGCTGAAGTCGTCTCGTGGCAAGGTTGATTCTGAGATTCGGGAGTCCCGAAGAGTGCCAACAACAAACGGCAACAACAAATGCCTTCTGAGCATCTTCGGCATCTTCGCATACATGGCCTCCATGTACCTTGCCAGCTCAAAACTAGCTTCATTTCAGTGAGACATGTGCGTCGGGAACTGCTCCATTCGCAGGCTCGCCATTCATGTCTCTACGGAACAAAGAGAGCACACCTCGAACATGAACAACATGAACATGATGCGTTCCACAGGACATGCACCCCACTGTGCTGAGCATGCCCGGTGAAGGGCCGAGTCCGACTGTGCAAGCTACATGGAGGCAGTCTCTGATGGGCTCATGCTTGCTTCCAGCTGTTCCTCTGCATTTCCTCAAAGCATCCGAATGAAGTCAGGATGCTGTGGAGAACCCGGCGGCTCGGAGAGGGTTTGGCACGGGGCGAAGGGCGGCACGCCAGTGTAGTTGATGGTAAGATGTGCCACACTGTAGTTCCTTTGCTTTTGGGAGCTTGAGCTTCAGGGCTTTGGACCACAAGTTGCATGCCAGTACAAAGCTGATAGGCATTGGGACTGCTAGGATTCAGAGTTTAGAAGCAAGATCTTCTGCTTAAGACTTTGGAACCTTCGATGGCAATCTGGCTTTGAGCACTTCAACCTCTTTGTCGGGGGGAGTGATGGTGCCTGCGCTCAGCCCGCGAGCAAAAACCCACAGGGGGGGGCGCCCAAATCGCCCTGGAAATCCTAAACTCCAAAGCAGCCCAGCTGCTTCCTCTCACTGCAAATGGCCACCAGGTGGGGGTCCCGGTTCTTGGCGGCATCGACCATGCATCTCACTTGCTGCAGCCTGGGCTTTCGGCAGCTTTCGGCTCTTGCGGACCGGTGTGACCTTCCTTCTGTGGGGTTCATGGGGCTTCAGCTTCTGAAAGGGCGAATTTAGGGTCTCCTAGAAAGAGTTGAAGGGCATAGCTCCGATCTGTGACGGGGTGGCCAAGGACCTCGGCGGGTCCGCTCTCGGAGACCCGAGCCACAAAGCACTCTACCGCAACCTAATCCTCAAAAGTTGTTGTTCGTGCCGCCCCCACCCATTCAAAGTCATGAACATTGTTCCTTGGCTAGATTCATTCGACTTTAAGCCTGTTCGACATGAGAGAAGCAGCAAACGCACGACTAGCATCGAGAGTACCCTGAGCCCCGACTGGCCCGGAAGCATTTTCCACGTCACCTTCAGCTCTTCTTCAGTGACGCTCACAGAAGAGTTGGCCTCCATGAAGGAGTACATGGCCTGGTCGGAGATGGTGGACTACCTGCCCCCTGAACCCCACTCTCTGCATGGAACTGCCAAAATCTAAGGCTTTCATGCATCTTGCAGGTTGCGCATGCCGGTCTCGATCTATCGTCAGGAGTGCTATGAGCAACAAGATTGTTGAGATACGCCAACAGAGTCCAACGGATATACTGTATCGACCTAGCGGCTTGTCTCGCCACCAATGCATTGGCAAGAACAGCATGCAACATGTCACATGCACGAAATGCCACACCTTTTTCCTTACGGAACGGAAACTTGGCCTGCTGTCGGCACGTGTTGTATGCCGCACAATCGATTCCCATCTTCGCCGAGAGATCGCACACAGAGTTGTCCTGTGCTAGTCCGTCGACTCGGCTGTGCCATCTACGTAGGTTCTACGACTCAAGAACTCTTTGGGAAGGAGTGTTGAAGGCAAAGAGTTCCGAATGCAGTCCATGAAGGACTGCATGTTGCTTTAGGCTTGATCGGGTTTTGAAGGCCCTAGTCGCGGAGCCCCCACTCCATTCCACAAAGACCCTCCAATACCGTGGACATGCTTCACTTCCACTCCAAGACCCTGACATGCTCTGTTCAAAAGAGCCAAGACGAGGAATTGGACTTGGGAAAGGCAGAACGAAAGAAAGAGCGAGGAGAGTGCACGCAGTATATTTGTGCCTGGGGCAAGTCATGTAGGGTGTAATGGGCCAACAGTTAGAGAGGTGAGTGTGTGTGTGTGGTTTGGTAATGACTGCAGACGGACCTAGCCTTGTGGACCCAAAGGTGTAAAACAAACGTACTATGCGAAAACGAAAAAACGAGCGTGAGTGAGTTTGGAGCGTGTGGTGGACATTTCGGGGGCCCATGTTCTTCATGGGGGTTTCGAAGCCTCAAATTTCCGGACCCACGAAATGCGTTTCGACACTCACGGTCGGAAACCAGTATGTCTGCGCGCATGTGTGTGCGTGTGAATCCGACTCTGTTACCAAGAGTCTGGTTGGGAGCAGAGGCAAGGGGCTGGCGCTCCTTGGCAACCCCAATGCAACGAAGCGAAGCCTTCGAGTGGCAAGCTGTTTGGGACCAAACTGCTGGCAACAACGGCGGCCCAGCAGTAGTACACCACCAGTGATACTTGCAGACGATGTGACCGATGTGGCTCAGAGTGGGTGCACATGTGTACCAAGCCGTGACAGAATTGGTCGTTGTTTCGTTTGCCGGGCTGTCTGCGGCAGGATTGCCCATGCCATTAGCTGTCCATTGTTACACTCAAACGATGAGTTCCCATCTGCAACAAAACAAACCAAGATTCGCGAGGAGTATTTCTGCCTGATCAACGAGAAACAATCAACGAGTTTCAGTAGCAATGATCAATGTCAAGACGTGGCACGAGCAAAGTGCAAGCTTGCCGCAGGAGGGCTTCAAGCGCCACTGCCGCGCCGGCCAAAACTGCAAATTGCCTGTGGTCCGAGCATGGTTTGCCTGGCAAGAGTTGTTTCGGAAGCGATTCTGAATTCGTCATATCCAGAGCCGAACGCTGTTTTGCGAGATAAAACACGCCCGAGTGGCTTTTGTTGTGTGTGTGTGCGCGCAAATCTGTTACCAAAGTCTTGTTGAGAGCAGGGGCACTGGGCACTCCCTGTTCATACTCACTGTTTTGTGCGATCATGTGGTAATGTAGTATCTGAGGTTACTTGATGAATCAACTTGCTGGCAACGGCACAGCCCAGCTTTGCTACACCAATGCAGACGATGTGGCTCAGGATGGAGGCACATGTGTGTGTGTGGGAACCTGGGTGGAATTCCAAGCGTCGGGCATTCTGCTCAAAATCTACAGAAGCAGGAGGCTGGCGCCGAAGATGCGGGCTTCTTCATGCTCATTTTCTGGGCGCTGAAACAAGTTTAGGTGATCCTCTGAAACTCTTGCTTTCCTTGTCGCCAGTCTTTTATGTACGATTTTCCGTATCCCGGGAACAAGAATTTCGGTATCCCAGGCACAGGCCATCCATCATGCTTTGCATGAGCAGGCGTGCGCGAGCGTGTCTGTTGCCATTGTGATCATGTACTAGCAGAGAGAGTAGGACTGAGGAGGAGGCGGATAAACGGAAGAAGACGAATAGAGGCTGAGACGTAGGCTCGCACAACAATGTAAGAAAATTTATCTCTTCCCAATTCTGTGAACCCTGCACACAAAACGGTAAAGTCAAAACCTGGACACGCACGCTGATCCATAGGCAGGTGTCCAACTTGAGCTGCTTGAAGTCGCACTCGTTCCGCACATCTGACAGTGATGTGTTTGCACTGGTGCATTGCCCCCTCTGTGTGGTAAGCCTTTCCGTAGCGTTCCCGCACTCCTGAGCAATCGGCTTGGCATGGGGGGTGGTCGCACAGGGATATCACATTTCTTTCAACAATGGAATCTGCTACACCCCTGTGAATTCCAATGGTTGGTACAGTGGAGAGTTCTTTGTGAGATTGCGGGGCCCAGACCTTCAGTTCGCACTGGGCAACGAAAGCAAAAGCCGTGGCAGAAGCCATGGCTGCATGCATGTTTGCTTGACGCAAACTTTAGAAGGACTTGATAGGCTCGTTTTTTGGCCCTTCAACGACCTTTCAAAACCCGGAACACTGCCCTGCTAGGAGAAATTGCAAAGGGGCAGTTGAACCCCCGGCCCATGGTCCATAGCCACGAGACATGCTTGCGCAGGAGGAGGTTGCTCAGGCTTGCCTCGAACTCCTGCATGCCCAGATGTATTGCAGACATGCTGCAATGCCTCCCCTCTCAACCCTCTCAAAAACTAAGCCTGGGAGCCTTACATCTTGCACGTCGCCAACACCCCCCCCCCCCCTCCCTCCCCCCGAGTGAGCCGAGATCGGCATCGCGGCAACGTTGCTGAAGGCTTACACAAGCCATGGGCCCCCAGCCCAAAGCCCAAAGCCTAAAGCCTTGGCGGTCATGTGGGAAGGCCACAGCAAACCATCTTAATGTAGAAGTCCTGGATTTGCCGCTCATGGTAGGCTTCTACATCCTCGCCCCCATGAGAGAGGCACGGGGGCGTTGTTGGGAGCACGTCGGTCTCCTGGACACAAATCGCGGGTTTCTCAATGGCCTCCTCAACGCTAGCTTCTGGGCTGGTTGAGATATAGCAACTCCGAGTGTCGGGTTCAGATCTCCTCTCCTTCTGTACATATACGTACTTGCAGGGTCCATGGATGCAGGTGGGCTGGGGACTTTCTGAAACGGAAGCAGATACATCTCTAAGTTTCTAAGCCCTTGACCCTCAACTCGAGACCAGCGTGGCCAAGAGACACTGTAGAGCGTACACTTGGCCGACTGGATGCTCTCCGCAGCAGTCAGCAGCGTAGTGCATGAGACCACCTTTTGTCACCCAAGTGAGGTTTATCCAAGTGTCGAACGTAGCACTATTTGACTATCTGAAGCCACTGCTAAGTCTTACGAGCGTACCGCGTATGGCGTACGATGCGGCAGAGGAGCCGAAACCCATGGAAACCCTAAACTCAACGGAGAATTCCTTACACCAAAGCCGTACCAACCCGCCTGGTCCGCAATGAGCGACTGCTGCTTGCGACACAGCTCGTGGCTGCTCGTGAACTGCACAATGCTGGCCCTCAGGCAGCTATGGTCATGGCCAACATGCCCCTGAAACCTCAAGCCCCCTAGGGCGGCTTACGACTTAACAGACGGTGGGGCAATTCGGCTAAGGCTCTGATCCGTGACCGACCTGTTGAACGCGTGCAACTGGTCCTCCTCGCACTTCAGGAAAAGCTCATAGAAGCCGTCCATCTGGTCTTGCGCAATAGCAAAGTCCGTCTTCACTGACGGCTCCAGTGTGTCATTGACGATGCCGTTTACACCGTCCAAGATCTCATCCACCTCCTCTCCAGTAAGGTTGGAGGACCCAGCCACCGTCAAAAGAACCGATTTGACAGCCGTGAGGTTCCGGGCATAAAGCCCGGCCTCAATTTCGTTCAGATCGCGCAAGACACCTGCATGGCCGAGCCACGGGCAAAATGCATCAAACTGCACTCGAGCCTTCCATGCAGCCCTCCCCCCCTCCCCGCCTGCATCGACATGACGAGACTGTCCATTGGGCACGGCTACTGTGAGAGAGGCCCCTGCCACCGCACACAGCAGCCGCCACATGGCTGTTGCTACATTGGGCCGCTTGAGCCACGACTCCCTGCGAACGTGCTTAGCACGTCTTAACCTTATGGGGAGGCAGGTTCTCCTTATCTGTGATACCAGATGCCAGCTGATAACAGACCTCGACTAGATTCTCATTCCAACCGTCAAAACCCCATCTGCGTGCAAATCCATCCAATTCCTAGGATGCGAAGATACTGGCTGTGCTTCCGAGCAACTTGCAAAGGGTCGAGGTTGCGAAGTTGAAGTTTGTTGCTGGTCTCAATCGTGCCTCAACCAGGAATTATTGCAGGTGCAGATCACAGGCACAAGTGTAATCCCAGCCTGTGGCAACTGAAGAACCTGAGCAACCCTGCACAGCAATCAGTCTGCCTTTTCTCGTTCAGGCACAAACCCTATATAAATAGATGGCTTGCTTCTGCACTACAGTTTTTGGCAGCCGTCTGCTGTCATGGTCCCCCGCTCCCACGGACAACGCCAAGGACCAGTCCCACAACATGCATTGCCTACGTCTACGCCCACGTTGAGATGAGCAAACCCGAGGGAAGGGGTGGAGCTGGATGCATGCAAACAAACAACGGCAAAAGATGCTCGTTGAATTGAATTGTGAGGCGAGGGCAAGGAGCATGCCGGGCTGCGTTGATCTTTGAATTCTGAGCAGCGGTCGTTGCTAAACCAACCCTTCCTCCTGCGATAATGCTTGGGGGGTTCGAGCCAAAGGATTTCAGACTTTGGCTAGGGCTTTACCACGTTGACGTCTAGCACCGGCAAGCCCACATGCAAAAGAACGGAGATTCATGAAGAACGCGGTTTCCGAATTAGAAACAGCGCACCGGCACGTGGTCTCTTGTGCGGATATCATCCAAGCCTGGCTCGAAAACAGATTAACACCACTACGCTATGCTGTGCTAGCGAGGCGCGGGGATAAGTTGCCATCACGCCTGAACAAGTCTCTTCGCTAGGCAACAACATTAGCAGTAGTCATCTGGAAGAGACATCACAGGAGCGGCTGGATGTAGAGGGACATGCCCTTTAGTGAAACATTCGGAGGTCAGGTGCATGAAAGCGTGCACCAGCGGAACCTGGCATGAGGAACATTGCGGAGAGGAGTGGGGGCAGGGGGATTCAGCATGCGTGGCTCAGGGAAAGTGTTTGTGTAAAGAGGCACTCATGTTCACTTGAAGCATCAGCCCCTGCGCAAGGATGACACGCTGAGCGCGTCCACTGAGGTCTTAACCATAAACTATGCCAACGATGTTGGCTCAAGTCTCGGAGCAAATGCACGGAGTGCAGCTTGGTTTTCGGGTTCTTTCGGGTTCTTCCGGGTTTTGGGGTTTGGTTTCCTCTTCCCGGTACCCTAGTCCCACCCCCTGTCCTGGTACCCTAGTCCTGCGACCCAGTCCAGGGTGTGAAGGGTGCGTTCGTTCAGGGGTTCAGGGCTAAGAAGGTGGTTGATGATTGAGGTCCAAGGCGGAAGAGATGGCGGGGGATACTCGTGATTTATCTAGGGTTTTGATGAACGATGTTCCTCTCCAGATGCTGCCTCAATCTCCCATCACACTTCAGCAGAATCACCGAAAGCAGCCCTGACCAACATCAGGGTATGAGCCCAAACGCTCCAAGCAATCCCGCAGAAGCGCAGCAGCAGCAGCATCAGCGTTCCTCACTTTCTGTCTCTGGCCAGGGCACACAAGTTGGGGATGTTGTCATGAATACGCCAGGTGCAGAGTTCCTTGTCCGTCAAATGAACGAGATTAGATCTGCAAATGGTGACGTGGTCCGAATGATGCGACAGTTAGAGGGAAATCATTGGGATCTTATTGCTATGACTGGTATGGATCAAGTGCAGCAGAACCTTGAAGGCATTCGTCATGAGATGGAGCGTCGCACAAATCTGCTGGGCACTGGCCTGACAACCACTGTTGCTGGAATAGAGCAGCTGCGCGACGCAGCGTTGCAGAGTCGCCAGGCTTATGGCCAGGCGAGTGAAGCATGCAGCACCTTGACAAGTCAGATGAATGAGCTCGCTACAGCTGTGAGACATTTGAGTCAAAGGGTTGATGACCTAGAGGGCCAGGTGTTTCTTCAAGACGCTGTGAGCAAGCAAGTGAATGAGATCCGTGATCGTATAGCCGCATTGGAGTTTCAAGCTGTAGCTGGAGGTGAATGGCCTGAAGCTGAAAGGAAAATCTTCCTGAAGGAGCATAAGCTACAATCCGACAAGACTTCATTGTGCATTCACGATCTACAAGAGCAAGTGAGACAGCTCAATGAGAAAACCCAAGAAGAGAAGCGAGGTTCCTCGACACAGTTGGCGCTTGTCCTTGAACGTGTGGTTGGCGTTGAAAAGATTTGCAAGAAACTTCGTGAGCGTGACGAGGAGATCCAGGGTCACTTGAGTCACGTAATACCGCAGTCTATTGCCTCGGACGCAGGACCCCAGCAGGAAAGCCAGGCGCCAGCAAGCCTTGGGGAACCGCAGACTTTTTCCATTGGAAGTGGGACGCCGCTTCAGGTCAATGAAAGGTCTGGTGAAGATGACTGGTGGGAGGCGTACGATGACAGACCAATCAGCTCTTGGTTGACAAAACCGCCGGGCCTTCCCATGGAATCAGCCTGGATGAATGAGGGTTGGGGTGCCAATGCCCCTACTCAGCCGCCTCCCCTTCCCAAAGAATTTCGTAGCTCGAGCCAGGATGGTTTCCATCTAGATGGACATGAGCTGAGAGTTGCAGGGGGCCAGTGGAAGTTGATGAAGGAGTTCCCGAGGATTCTTGAGCCGCGAGGTCAGGCATGGGAACGAGGCCTCCAATTCTCGCAGTATGCTACCGAAATGGTGTCCGTTGCATCGTGTATCGGTGCTGGGTTCGGAAAGTTCGTGAGGCACCAAATCGATGCAGCGTTGGGGCGCTTTCAACGGCGCATGGATGCCGGGGTTCATGACCCCGATGTTCCCCCTGTTGCCAGCGGATGCGAGGAGTTTGAGAGCAGGTTGGCTATGACTTTGCTTTCGCAGACGAGTGATGATATCAAACGAGGTGTGATTGAGTCAGCTGCGGGTCAAGTGGTTCCTTCATTAACGATCCTAGAAGCGATTCTTGAGCGCTACCAACCTGGTGGTATTGAAGAGAAGTCAAGCCTGACGTCGTTTTTGAGGAACCTGCCGCAGGCAAATACTTTCACTGAGTGTTTGGCAACACTTAGAAGGCTAAAGCTGGCTACATCCCGGATTCTTGTCCTTGGTTTGCCGAGTCATCCTCCACATGAAGCCATTTCTTCCTTGAACCACATGGTGAAAACTCTAGAAAAGAAGAGTCCCACCCTGAGTACGCGCTTGAATTTGCTTCGTCTTCGTCCTGAGATCTTGAATCCCACCGAAGAAGGTGTGAGTCTCCTGCAGACGGCGATTGAGGCAGAAGCACGGCGACTGGCAGCTGAGGAGTTCTCTAAGCCACATCACCCGAAAGGTTCTGATGCTGGAACTGGAGAGTATGAGATCACAGCTGCTAAGGGTAAAGGGAAAGGCAAGAAAGGAAAACCAACAGGTGATACCAAGTCAACTCCATGTGCATTCTTTAACACTGAGCGAGGGTGCTTGAAGGGAAAGGATTGCGAGTATTGGCATGGTGATCCTAAGGGGGCAAAAGCCAAAGGCAAGGGCAAGGGCAAGGAGGATTCAAAGACAAGGGCAGCGGCCAAGGAGGCTGAAGCGAAGGCCAAAGAGAAAGCTGAAGCAAGGGAGGCAAAAGCCAAAGCCAAGGCCGCAGCAAAGGAAGCAGCAGCAAGAGACAAACCGGACCCCAAGGCAAAGCCAGGTGCTAAAGCGAAGGCAGCAGCACTTGTTGGAGCTGAGGCGAAGTCTGCTACATGTTATCGAGTGTGTGCAAACATGGCATTGCGTGAGAACGATCAACCTTCTGACGATGGTATCTCTTCCTCTTCAGAGCTTTCCGAACTGGATGGTGTTAGGAGCGATGATCTTACTCCGAGTGAATTCGGGGACGAGTTTCAGGAGGAGAGTGACGACGAGCCAGGTCCATGGATGTGGAGCTTGCGCTTGACGGGTTTGGAGTGGAAAATGTGGACTCACCCAGGCAACATCGTCACCAGGGCGCATGCGGAGTTTGAGCACATTGATGATTATCGCAGTGTGGAGCATGGAGCATGGATTCTGCATAGGGCTGGGCAATTAGATGAGCTGCCGGCTGTGTTGAATGATGAATGGACCGTCACTGCTGTACACAATGTGTTGGTTCTGGATCCGGTCACGAGAGTCTTCAAGGGGGCCTTTGCCTTCGAGCTTGAGCGTGTAGATGTCCAGTCCAAGCTTCGTTTTGTGGTAGCGGTGGAAAGAAATCAGCCGTACGTAGAGCCATGGCCTGAGGATGTATGGTTTAATGAATGCATGAGATTCGGCTTCGGGGCTCCCACCGGGCATGTCAGGGACCGAATTCCACTAGAGGAAATGTTGAATGGTCATGGATTTGGTCACCTAGCTGAGACCCTGGGTTTGTTAGGTGCCGAGTTTGCTGATGATCTTGCCTTCCTGAGTCCTCGAGATTTGGTAGAGAATGGCATTCAACGGCAGGTTGCTGAGGACCTGTTTCAGCATGAAGGTGTCCTGTATGAAGTCCACGCCTCTACGGGAGTCCAGGGTGTTCGGCTGGAAGAAGAACAGATTGAGGAACTTGCGTTCTCTTTATATGCATCTTGGCAGGCGGGAGAACCGGTGAGTGATGAAGAGTACGACCCCGAAGTCCAACAAAGATTCCATGGCATGGTGCGTAGGCGGCGCCAAGGTGCTGCAAACATGTGTTGTGTCTCGGGCAATCGTGTTGAGAGTGATGGTTTTGTTCTCGTTGACAGCGGGGCCAACGAAGTGCTCCGTCCACAGACTAAGCGGCAATCCTCATTAGGTGAAGAAACGCTTCAGGTCACTCTCGCGTCAGGGTCGCAGTGCGCAGCCACCTTGAACAAACATGGAGAGGTGTGCATGATCT